CTAGTAGAAATATCACTAAAATCCTTCTTGTTCAAGGATTTAAGGATAGGTTTCAGACTACAGAGTTTCTGGCAAACTCTGAACATAGGAACACCAATAATGTATTGGTTCCAGTCCTGCAAAACTAAAGGAAGGAACTCCTCATGTTTGGCCCAAAAGTCAAAATATTTAAACGGTTTTTTGAAAGAGGGGGCCTTGCCAGAAATAGTAACAACAACTAGAGAGTGGTCAGATATACTAGAGGGGAGAAACATAGCATTAGACGCAGGAAATTGATCAACCCAAGACTCATTGACCAAAACTCTAATAATTTTAGTGGCTATGTAGTCATCCCTAGTCCTTTTGTTAGCCCAAGTAAATTGGCACCCCCCATAGGATAAATCAACAAGCTCAGCATTTAGAATATAAGAGTTAAAAACCTCTTTCTCACAATTCCACTGAAGAGAGCCCCCAAATTTTTCAAAACTATACCTAATAGCATTAAAATCCCCTAGAAAAGATAAAGGGGTGGCAGAGTTAAAGAGAGATAGCCTCAGCATATTATCAAAAAATCTTTCCTCAAAACAGGGCTATTCTCAGCATAAACAAAACAAGTTATGAAAACCTTGGCCCGAGATAAATTAGTAATTTCACAAAGAATATACTGATCAGAAAAGTTAAGCATTGTGACATTACAAAAATCAGGATCCCAATATACACAAATCCTACCAGTTTTATTTGGTTGAGAATTAGTCAAAAAAGACCATTTGCTCATACAAGATGAGAAAATTTTATCTTCATTAATAGCTTTTATTTTGGTCTCCAAAATACCCATAACCTTAATTTCTTCCTAAATCAAAATTTTCCTCAATTCTTTTTGTCTAGAGGGGTCATTGAACCCTCTAATATTCCAAGAAGCGATTTTAAAAGACATGGGAAACAAAAACTAAATTCTCAACCCAAGGAACAGGAGTTACCTCTTTTTCTTCCTCTGGCTCTTACCCTTACCAGAGGATTTTTTGGTGGTAGAACTTGTAGGACAGTTGTCAGGAGTAGCTTGTAAGCTGTCCTCGGTGGTGACCAGATTCTTCACTTTTTCCAAAATTTTGGAGTCCCCAGGAAGAGCTATCATAGCAATGTCTAACAGCTCCTTTTGTATCTCAGCTAGGCCATCTATCCAGTGAGGAATAGCAGTATCAAAGTTAATGGCATCTGCAATATTAACACTCTGATTGCCCAGAATTGTGTCAGTAACCATGGCATTGATAGCCTCTGATGGAACCTGGCTATTGATCTCTGGAGCTTGAATCTAAACTTCCATATCTAAATTATTTGTAGCTAGATTCTCAACCATCTCTTCCTCGATAGGCTCTGGATCACCTATTTTCCTCTTACCCTTTGCCTTGACTGTGCTCCATCCAAGATCTGGATTATTCTCAGTTTCTTTTTGAAGGTTAACTAACTTTGCTACTTGTGTAGCAACACACTTTGTTGTGTCATGCCCAAAGACCAAACAATGTTCGCATTTAGCCGGGAGCCCCTGATATTCAACCTTAACAATCACCTGTCTTTCCCCATAGTAGACAGGGAAAAAAGGTGGTTGTTTGGCATTAGCATCCACTTCCACACAAATCCTAGCAAATGCCACTCTAGTCCCCTTATCTGTCAGATGGTCCGTGAATAAAGGAACTCCAACCGCACTCGCTATCCTACTCAATCCATCAGTATCCCAATATTCCATCGGGACATTGAAGAATTTTACCCACACTGGAACTTTTTGGATTTTATCTTTGGTTAATCTCATCATACAGGGCCATTTCTTGAGGATAAGAAGAAATCCCCCTATATACCATGGCCCTCCCTCAAGGACTTCACTACAGCAGCTAGGGCTTTCAAAGATGAAAAAAATGAAACCCTCCCCCTTGGCAAGCACTTCCTTTAGCCCTTTATTTTTCCACATACTGAAAGCACTATTCCTCATATAGTTAAAAGCAACGCCCTTGTCAATGAAGTACCCCACTAAGCAAGAATCCCATTTTTCCAATGGATCTAGTCTAGGAGGAAGGTTAACACTGACAAACTCATCATTAACTGAAGGAGGAACATACCTTAAAGGTAAACACGGACGATTCGCAGTTGCAGCAACCTCGGCCCACGATTTCTTAGCTTCAGAAACCCTATTTTGACCTCTACCTCCACCTTGCCCCCTACCCCCTCGGCCGCCTCTGTAACTGCTTCCCCCCCTCAACTATGAGATTCAATGCTATTGTTCTCATCAAGGGTTTCAGGATCACTATTAGGATCCTGATCATCTGGATTAATCGTAGGGTCAGAAAGAAGGGTAAGTGCATCACGCTTCTTCCCATCGGTCCTTATTCTCGCGACCTCCAAGCTATCTGGGATATTTCTGAAAGACAAATCTTCCTTCTCCATCTCTACAGCCCACCTAGGGTTTAGATGGGACTCGATCGGTGATTTGGGGACTATACCAATCGACTCAGGGTCTCTAAGCTGTTGAAGACGATCTGCTATCCTTTGAAGATCCAAAGATTGGTTGTTTGATTTTGATAAGCCATCCGCGGTATTACCCTTTGAAGGGTTAGGGTTCGAGCTCTGACCAATGTTCCCAAAATCGCTCATCGTTAACACACTCAGATTTGTGCAAACTTGATTATCTAACCCTAATCGTGACTCAACGATTTGGGTATTTTTGACTTTCACACTACTAACCTTGATTACAACATTGGTTTCTCTCACATCTTTAATGGTCATCACTATATTTGGGTTATTAACTACCATTAAGATCAGCGCCGCTCAATGAAATATTGAATGCAGAAACCCTAAAAACAAAGGTTTCTAGAGAGAAGGAGGAGGTTCTCACTCTAACCCATTTTTCTACGAACTAACTAGCTTGCACCTTGTAGAAGTGAAATTCATTTGTATATGATTTTTTTTTCTGTGTGTGTTGTATGGTAGTTTCTAATGAGATATTATTTGTGTTATAGGAACGAGGGCCCCTAAAGTGTCATAATCACTCTTCGAAGATCCTTGCATGGCCATGGTGGTCAGTAGACAACAACACCAGATTCAAAGCCATTATTGAGCAGTCTAGGCTGTCACAGTTAGCTCGTTGCACTTATCGGTTCATCAACAAGCTTCTAATCTCCAGTTTTGTTGAGAGATGGCAACTTGAGACGAACACATTTCACATGACAGTTGGTGAAATGACCTTGACCCTGGATGATGTTGGCACTATTCTTGGCCTTCCCATTGTAGGCAAATCAGTCAGCGTATCAGATGTGATAGATCATCATGGAGTTACACTACTGGTTTATGGCTTAGGGATTACTGAACGTATAGTACATGAAGAGGTTTCTACTTCTGGTGGGAATTCAGTCAAGCTTGAGTGGTTGCGAAGTCAGTTCGCTGGTGTCACAGATTCAGATCCAGAGGAGGCTATACAGTGCGCTACTAGAGCTTATTTGTTGTTTCTGTTGGGATGTACGCTCTTCAATGACAAGAGTGGCGGCAGCGTTCCTGTTGTTTACCTTGGCTTATTGATGGATTTGGGATCCATTCATACTTACGCCTGGGGTGCTGCTGCATTAGCATTTTTATATAGACAGTTGGGGTATGCTAGTCGGTCCGGTGTTAAACAGATGGGTAGTTATATGACTCTTTTGGAGGCATGGATTTATGAACACTTCCGAGCATTCCGACCTCACCAGAACATGGACTATAATGAAAACATGCCACACATGTACCATTGGGCATCTAGGAGAGAGACGGGTTTCTCCATTGATCATTTGAAATCTTTACGAGCAGAGCTTGACAGTTTGGTAGCGACTGATGTAAGTTTACTCGTCTTCAGATAATTTTAACACTTTCCATTTATTTTACCCTTTATATACTTTAATTCAAAAACACTTTACGTTTATAGGTTATTTGGGATCCATACCACAATTGCAAAGACCGGCATCTATGTAGCCCGGTTACGTTCTACCATGGATGCTTAAAGTGCTTAGATGTGGTCGAACCCTATCATCCAGATAGAGTTCTGAGGCAGTTTGGCAGGGTTCAAACCATCCCAGATGCACCGCTAGCTCCCAGTCATGGTGCTTGAGGCAACATATATGCACGATATACAATCATGTATAGATACTTGGATAGGATCTGGGAGGCTTGGGATAACCACGTGTTATCTGAGCAGCGGAGGAGCATACTAGTTCGTCAGCCTTGGGAATGTGTACCGAGTTACATGGGTTGGTATAAGAATATCACACACCTATATGTTGAGCACACTGATGAACCGCGTGTCCATGACCATCAGGATTTTAGCCAACACGCCGATGTAATATATTATCCTCTTTTATGCATTTGTAACTTACTTTTTATTTTCCGATATAAAAACCTAAAATATGATATTCTTTTCAAATGCAGCGTATTACACATGCACAGCAGATTTCACATCCTATTATTGAGGCTGGTTATGAGGAGGGGATTCGATATCCTCATTGACTTTACCAGGCTATCGAGACTATGACCCATGTCCTTGAAGGTCAGCACATTGACGAAGCTGGGCCTAGTTCTGCTGGACCTAGTTATACTAGAGGTCGCTTTTCATCTCCGACATTGACATACAGTCGTTGGCCTAGGCGTAGGCATACAGCTGATTCGTGACATGTTATTTGTTAGTTGATGAATTTTTTGTGGTGTTTTTTGTAAGATGATATTGTTGTAATGGTAACAGTGGTCAATATTTTCTTATTAGAATGAAATGGCAACAATGGTTGATATCATTGAAAATGACATTTTATTATTAGAGTGGAATGGTAACAATGGTCGTTGATTTTGTAAATGATATTTTCTTATTACAATGGAATGGTGACAATGGTCGATAACATTCAATCCATGCCACAGAACACATCAACATCAAAAACACATTCATTAATTTCTTCCATATTTCTAACATTGTCAAATGCATACATGTGTCATGTGACATAAACAACATCAAATGTCTCTCAAGCAGCTACAGTATCATGAATAATGTCCTTGAAATGTTGAATTCGGCGCATATATGTATCATCCCAGTCGATAGCGCAAGAGTGATGGTACTTTCTCCAATTAGTGGCTATAGAAGGAACTAGATGGCCTGGCTGCAACAAAACCTGCACCAAATGTCAATTGAGTTAGTGGTCATACCTCATAACTTCTTGTACATACACAAATTGATAAGTTTCTGTTATACCTGGACGAAATGATTTCCGTTGACAAACCCAATGGCAATCTCACGTCTATCAAGTTGAGGTACTGGCACTGTTCTAAGAGGTAAAAAGGTGAGACATTGCTCTAATGACAAGTGGGATAACACAAGATTGTAGCACGATGCAACAAGATGCCCCATGTCTAGCATAGTCATCCAATGTGAGTATCCAGGACTGTCTTCAAAGTATGACAATATGCTTGTCAATTCTTCAAACCTTTCGTAGGACCCATAAAGTGTAATGTATTCCTCTTTGTGTGCATGCAGCTCACCTAACAGATCATGCCTAACCTGAGCCCAATCATTTTCTGAATGACCAATTGAAGCAGTTATAGCCCTGAAACCACAATTCCCATATGCAGCTACATCCTTGACAAACTTAATGTATGGTTTCAACCCAGAAGGGAAAGCATCAACATATGCACCAGGTTTCACTGCTCTAGTAATGTATACCTTCCCTTTCACATTCACCTTCTTCTTTCCGTTAACAGGTCGTTTCTTCTTGGTTTCCAGAGTAGAAGCTAATGTAGTGATTTGAGTGTCTAGGTGAGAAGGAATCATGTCCAGATTGCACGAACTCAAATGCACACGGGTCATGATGGGTAGAAACATTGATCTTCTTATGATCCCGATGACGTGTTTTGGGCTTCACCTCCGGCTCAACAAGAAAAGTGCTTCCCGAATATACAATATTTTTTAACTTCTTCAAAAGCTCCAACCGCATGGTTCTATCACTTTCATTAAACTTGTTCATAAACAACTCTACTTCTGCATGACAACTCATCTCCGTTTCCTCTTCTTTCTTGCATATGGAGATATGAAGTTGCCTCCACTGTGAGTGTATGGTAGCAAGTGGTATAGGACGACCTTGTCTGATGTAGTCAACAATCTCATGGACACAAGGTAAACCATGAGTGTGGCGAAGGACGCATCCACAAGCTTCAACATCAATACCAATGGAATTGGCTCTCTTACTCTTTACAAGCAAATACTCTAATGCAGAGATAGACACATTACCCCATAGCTCCCTAAACTGAGAAGGTTTAAATTGATATTGCACAGCAGTTAGACTTTTCTCAAATGAAGCCTTGATATCAGTGTGTTGCAACTCAAGCAGACTGTGTATTTTCTCAAATGATGCCTAAAATCAGACTTGACAGGAACCCAATTGTCTTTTAAGTTTTGCATGTGCACTCTCAGCCATGTTCAATTTAATGTAAGTCAAATTAAAATCAAGTACATGGCACTTATTAATAACATATTGAACAAAAGTAATCTTACCGGTTCGTTATAACATTGCCACAATGCATACACGTGTTTGTTCATGCCGCCACAAATTTCTCCTTGTAAGGAACCAACCAAGTATCCATGACGTATTTGACTACATCAGGATAACTACTGAATTCCTTAAGTAATGATTTAAGACGCTCATCATATTGAATTTCAGAAGATGAATACACTAAAGAGTTCCACTCATGGTTGAACTTCTCCCATTTTTGCTGTGTCTCAAACATTTTCTTGCATTTGGTCAGTACATTCTTACTGATATGCCAACGACATAATAAATGTCTGCCACTCGGGAATATCTTATGTATGGCATTCATCAAGGCTAGCTCTTTGTTAGTAATAATAATTGCTGGCACAACAAAACCATCCATGACATCACACAATGTAGCTAACACCTACGCATAGTTATCGGCCCTCTCATACTGTAAGTATGCGAAAGCTACAGAGAAAGTCATTTTAGTTTATGTCACTCCCACAATTTCAAGAAGAGGAAGACGATATATGTTGATTTTATATGTGCAATCCATAATTAATATATGTGGGAAAGACTGAAATAAGTCCAAACTGGTAGAATGTGCCCAAAACAAGTCTGTCACAGTCATCGTGGACTCTTCAGACCGATGGCGCTCAATGTAATTATACTTGGCCAATTCACCCAATAAGTGTTGCATCTGTGATCTTCCAGCTCTCTGTACCACCCTATTTCGATGGCGTACATTGTAAATGGTTTAAGTGTGCTTACATTGAGGGCATCTCGCTATTTTAAGGTTACTAGGATTTCTTTTGGCCGAACCATGCTCTCTGACATATCTATTAACAATGCTTTCTCATCCTTTGATAGCCTCCCCACATATGAATGTCCCTCAAGGTGCTCCGCAAATGGATGGTTATGCAATTTGCATACTACGGTCAATATTCATTCATCATGTGTGGTAATCCTGTGAGCCCTCATATCAAAAGGACAACCACACTTCTTCGTACCAGTTATTCTTGATGCATTGTTGCCATCATGTTTTAACTTCTTTGTCGCTCTATATTGGTCACTCCTCTCACAAGCAAGATACATCTTTTTTTCCCTCCACCATAGCCTGATGTTTTGATTATAATGACGAAACCATTTCTCTTTCCAACTTCACATACCCAGTTGAGCAATTCATCCTTACTTTTGAATATCTACAAAGTCAAATAAATATTATCAAACATTTACATTTGTTGAGCAATTCGAAACATAATCATTATAATTTCGTAGAGTGAACCTGTTCAGTTGTGAATTGAGTGGTGTAATCCAACACAAAATCCGCGCAAACCTGACTTCCTTGAGTTGACACATATTCCTACATATTTTGTATAACATTACAAATTTTTAATGGCATTATAAAGATTAATTCTGAATTGTTCTTTAACTCATTCAAGGAAGTACAGTGTTGAACAAAATGCTAATTTTCTAAAGTAGTTGTCCAAATTAATTTTAAAATTTCGGAAGTTGAATGTTGTAAAAGTTAACTTATTTCGGACAAAAACTTCCGAAATTAAATACTTATTTCGGTAGTAGATTTCCGAACAAAATAATATAATTCGACTCTGGTTATCCGAACGACGTTGGAAAAAAGAAGAAGAGAAACTCACATTTCCTTCACTATGTTTCTCATAAACATTTATTTGCTGATTTTCATAAGACAAATCCTCCATAACAATGATGAATGAGGAAGAAGCTACGAATGAGGAAGGTTGATGCTTTCCTTTCTAGCTTAATGTATGATGAATGAGGAAGAATTCAACAGCTTCAATGGAAGTAGCTATGAACTTGGAGCTTCAACAGATGTGAAGTTTGGATGGATGTGCATTGAGACGTTTTGAATTGGGTATGATGTCTAAAATAGTAATTTCACTTAGGGATAAAATTGTAATAAAAATAAATATCATTAAGTGTGTGTATAGAGGGGATTTGGTGTGTGTAGATAGAAGCTCCCTTTCGTAGGCTATGTGGCAAACAACGACGGGAGTTGTAACGCATGTCATGCTTAGAGGTTCTATCTATCAAATAGTGTGACCAATCAATCATCTCCATAGGTTTTGCTTATAGTCCAATCCATTATTCTCTTTTGAAATATGTAATGACTCATAACATAATTATTTTCAAATTTTACTTAAAAATAAGTTGTAAAATGTAGATTTAAGAATCACTTGCACATCTTTCCTTAAGTTTAAAAATAATATTAACTCCCACAACTTTAACATTTTTTTTTTTTTGGTGAATATCACAATTTTAAGATAATTATATTGATTTCGTTTTAGTATAGTTAATGAACCGACATTAATACCGATTATGTAAAAATACAAAAATAAATAATGTAAAATATATACTTTTATGTAAAAAAGATGACGTCATCATTTTTTCAACGATATAATGTGAGATTCCTAAATTTTGTAAATCTTAGTAAGACGCTGACTTTTGAATTATTACAATAAAACCCCTTAGATCCCCGTTTATTCAATAAATTAACCCTAGAACTGAAAATATATCACGGATGAACCTATACAAACTCTAATGGATCGCGGTAACATTGAAATCATTTCTAACACTCTAGTATTAATTATTTAACTCTCAAATTTTATATTAGTAGCTTAAAATCTTAATTTTCGATTTTTATCATTTTCATTTGGTTATGTGTCTTTTAATTCAAAGCAAGATTATTTGAACCAAATTATTTTTCCTAACATTATTTTAATTATGAAATAGATATTCTAATTAATTCCAACCCCCACACATTTTATTTTAATTACATTTTGAGCCCAAATCATTCTTTATACATATAAAAGTACACCTCTAATATTATAATATTTTTTCAAAATATCTACAATGTATATATATATATATATAAGAGTTTGTACACAAATAAATGAGAAAAAGTTCCTCAAATCTATACTACATGACCGGCCACCCTATAAATAAACATTATAGTGTCCTTTTTAAAACAAATTTCATGAATTTAGGGAAGACTTTTGACTAGGATCCTAAAATCTAGGGAACTTTTCTTGTGCTTGTTACTAGCTTAGTTCTAATTCAAGATAACCCTAACTAGAACTTGTTTAAGTACATAATTAGGACCCTAATCACCCCTCATGCCATTACATTCCAACTAAATCCAAAGATCCAAAGACTATTCAATTCCTTTGGAACCAAGGGCATTTTGGACTTTTCACACCAAATTTCCTATAAATACATCACCACCCCCTTAGCATTTGCATACTCAAACACACACCCACACTACATACGATTGAGATAGAGAGAAGGAGAGCGAATAGTAACCTTGAAGGGAGAAAGAAACAGAGAGAAGACTTTAACCAAGCCATAGCAATCTAGCAAACAAGTAAGTCATATCACCATCTCTCATTCTATTTCCTTTTTCAAATACATGTTATTATAGAGATTTAAAATCATATTTTCAGATGTGTTGTAATAGTGTCTACGTTTTCTGTAACGCCCCGAAATAATTACAATAAAACCATCCATGAACACTCATAATTAAACACATCATTTTGATTATACAGTCTCTTCCATTCCATATGATCTCATATTACAAAGGATAGCACATGCAGTTATTCGTTTATAAGCCCTAACCTTGAATCTATAGCATGTGTTGCATTGTTAAATATACAAAAATAAGTTAAGTAATTAAGAAATGTTCTATAGGTTTACAGCTTCTCAAGATAATGCTTGGTTACAACAAAAGTGAGTTTAAACTCAATACAAATAAAGCCCTAGGCTTGTAAAAAAATAAATATACAAATGAACAAAATGAAGCTCTTACTTCAAGTCCTCCCAAGCTATTGTCTTGGCGGAGCCATATCATCAGTACCTGAAATATTTTTCCCACATAGGGTGAGCCAAAGCCCAGAAGAAATGATTCAGCACAATATATGAATCTCAACAAAGTTATAGGATGAATGCATATGCCATACTCGTACCAAAACGTTTTACACTTCTTTTAAAACCATGCAATTGTCAGGTTACAAAACAATTCATAACATCCTTTCTCTTTTCACTATAAACAATATTGTGTATACAGCACTGTGAATCTCTAAGTACATCTCTACTAGCAGGCTATACATGGACTACTCTTTGTCATTTTTACTAGTATTAACCAGAAGACTCGACACATATTTGCATGGTTTTCTAGTCTTTTACCAAGGACACACAAGCCAACTTAATATTTGTAACCACACCGCTACTTAGATTTACCAAGTATTTACCTTTTTCTCAAAACAATATACATTATCAATGTGATAATATGCAACAATGCTTAATGCAAATGGATGAGAAAACGGTTTCAATTCTTTTAGTTCTCATGCAATGTTTACAACAATCATAACTATCCTTCACCGATAGCCCAAACAGATATCTCTAAACAGATAGATAAATTCCATAAGATGGACTTTCCAAATTTCAAAATTTGAGTGATAGTACATATCCAACTCCACGATTCCCATTAATATCAATATTTTTGTGCCAAAATTTTACAAAAAACCAACATCATCTTTCAACGTTTTCCAACACTAGCCAAAACGCATAGTTTTGGAGCAAAATCTCATTTTCTTTCCAAAATCACTTCCGAGCGAAGAAGTCCACTATTTTCCACACATAACAATCATCATCTCATTCCCACAACCCTTCTCATCATTCCATTTAAAGAAATCCATATTTTGATTTCAAAATCAAAACCTTAGAATTTTGTTCAAATCCTGAAATCACAATATTGTTTTAACTTATAACTAAGTTGAAACTCATAAGAAGGTGCGAAGAATTTGTACCTTAAGCTTAGAAGAGGAAGAAGGAAGAAAAATCCAAAAGTCGACGAAGACGAAACAATGATTTGTTCCAATCAAAATGAAGCCTTCGACAAGCTCTACACTTAATCTCAAAGGAGCAAGGTATGGAGATGCTTCTACGTGAGTAGATTTGAACATCTTCGCGAAAAAGTGAGTTTTAGAGAGAGAGAGAGAGAGAGAGAGAGAGTGAGTGATTCACGATTTTAGAGGAGACGAGAGAAGATAGAGTAAAGAAAAAGGTAACTGAGGACCTTATTTATAGTACTAGACTAAAGTGAAATAAAGTCCTAAAGTCAACCCAAAAGAATAAGTCAAAACCCCCCTAAAAAGTAGGGCCCAAAAAACCAGATTGAAATCTAGGAAAAAGAACACAAGGGTTGACCCTAGGACTAGAGGTGTCGACCCTCAAGAAGAGATGGCAAAACATCAATGTTGGCAGCAAACAGGGTGTCGACCCTCGGACCAGAGGTGTCGACACCAAATTTCAGTAGCAAATTCCCGTTTCAGTAGAAGATAAGGGTCGACATCTCCTAGACTGGTGTTGACCCCAAAGGCCAACAATAAAAGGCAAGTGTTGACACCAACAAAGTCTAGTGTCGATCCTAAATTTCAATAACTATCCAGGAACGCAACAGGACGAAGGTGACGGCCCTTCCAGGGCTAGTGTTGACCCTTGGAGTAGAACAAGACGAAGAAAAGAAGGTAGGTCGACACCAACAAGGATAGTGTCGACCCCATGAAGCCAAAACCAAATATAAAGAGGAAAGAACAACAGTCACGGATATGGTTTCCCGGATTCAAAAGTAATAAATGGGTCGGATCCAAATCAGGATCTCTATAACCTTTCCCCCTTAAGGAATTTCATCTCCAAAATTTTAAATTGACATTAAAACCAAGTCTAAACCAATTATAATCATAACTGTAGATCAAATTCGTCACCATGACCATTCATCAATCAATCATTCCCATGACACGGATAACAAAATTTTTGATAATGAAAATACAATTCATATTTCCAAACATATACAATGTTCATATTACATTAACATGACAAGATTTTCAATACAAGTTCAAATATCGACAAATAGGTCCGGATATTTCTTACGGACTTCCGCCTTACGTTCCCAAGTTGCTTCCTCAATCCTGTGATGTTTCCACAACACCTTCACTAAAGGAATTGTCTTGCCACCCAAGACTTGGTGATATCTTCAAGAAAACATGATCTCCTACCTTAAAGAATAACGGTATCCTCCTATGGTCAACATAGCTCTTTTGATGACTCTAAGCCGTGACCTGCGAATAAGCGCAACCTTCTCCGTCGTTTCCTGAACTAACTCAGGACCTATCATCGATGTATCACCCATCTCGGCCCAACATACAAGAGATCTACATGGTCGGCCATACAAGGCCTCAAAGGATGCCATGCCAATGCTTGCCTAGAAGCTATTGTTATAGGCAAACTCCACTAAAGGAAGGTGCCACTCCCGCAACCCCTTAAAGTCAAGAACACAACTCCGAAGCATATCGTCAAGGATATGGATGGTACGCTCTGATTGCTCATCAGTCGGAGGATGATAAGCAGTACTAAGTCAACTTTGTGCCCAAGGCGTTCTGTAGGCTCTGCCACAATCGAGCCATAAAACACGAATCTCTATCTGAAACAATAGTCACAGGGACTCCATGACGTCGAACAATGTCCCTATTATAAAGGTCGGCAAGATAATCTACCGAGTCACTCGTTTGCATAGGTACAAAGTGCGCTGACTTAGTTAACTGATCAACTACCACCCAAATGGCATCGTTACCCCGTTGGGTCCTCAAAGGACCCACAACAAAATCCATCATAACATGCTCCCATTTGCACTCTACTATAGGCAAAGGTTGTAACAACCCCGCTGGTCTCTGATGCTCGGCTTTCACTTATTGATAAGTAAGGCACCTCGACATAAACGTGGCTATATCCTTCTTCATTCCCTTCCACTAGAACTGGCGGCTAAGGTCATAGTACATTTTTGTACCTTCCAGATGTACTACAAGGCATGAATGGTGGAACTCTCAGAGTACCTCCTCTCAACACTGGTATTCACTTCCAAGAATTGAAGAACTTTTTGATCAATTTAGATGTTCAAAATTTTATTCAAAAAATTGATCTCAAGTCAGGTTACCATCAACTACAAGTCAAGGACGAGGATATACCGAAGACTGTGTTTTGAACTAGGTACGGTCACTACGAGTTATAGTAATGCTCTTCGGATTAACTAACACACCAATATTAATCATTCTAAAACAAGATGTAGAGTACACCGTGTATTGTGATGAATCCAAGAAAGGGTTAGCCTATGGTTCCAAGCAATTAAAGTCGCATAAGCAAAGTTATCCAACGCATGACTTGGATTGGTAGTTGTGGTTTTTGACCTAAAACAATGGCGACATTACTTGTATGGAAAATAGTTTGAGATTTTCATAGATCACAAGAGTTTAAAGTATCTGTTTACGCAGAAGAACCTAAACTTGAGGCAGAGACAATGGATGGAGTATCTCAAAGACTATCAGTTTACTCTCTCATATCATCCCAATGAGGCTAACGTAGTTGCAGATGCGTTGAGTCGCAAGAGTAGGGAAAAGATAGCCAAATTGATGGTAAAAGAATGGGATATGGTTAAAATTCTTAATGAATTTGGACTTCAAGTGAACATTCAAGATGGGAAGGCATACCTTGGTGCACAAAAATGTGATGCCTAAGTTAGTAAATGAAGTTATGGAAGCTCAAGATCACGATCAAGATCAAGGAAAACAGTGCCCAACTGGTCAATTTACTCGGATGGAAAATTAAGATACCAAGGCAGGGTATTTGTACTAAGTAGCGAGACACTTAGAGAAAGACTACTTAAGGAATTTCATTACTCGGCCCTTGTGGTACATCCAGGAGGGAGTAAAATGTACCACGATTTGAAATGACAGTATTGGTGGAGTGGTATGAAGAAAAATGTGGCTAAGTTTGTGGCAAGATGCCTTATATGCCAATTAATGAAAGCAGAACATCAGAAACCAGGAGGAATGTTACAGCCTCTACTAGTATCCAAATGAAAGTGGGAACATGTAATGATGGATTTTGTGATTGGATTACCCAAAACCCCAAGGGGCCGTGATGCTATTTGGGTTATAGTGGACCGTCTGACGAAAATCGTAAATTTTCTACCCTGCAAGATAACTGACACCTTGGAGTTCTTGTGCAACCCGGTGACCATTATATCAGACCACAACCCAAGTTTTACCTCCCGGTTCTAGGGAAGTCTACAAGAAGCCCTAGGCATCGAGTTGTGTTTTTGTACGACTTTTCATCCTCAGACAAATGGGCAATCTGAGCCCACCATCGAAACCGTCGAAGATATACTAAGAGCTCGTGTGATGGATTTTTAAGGAAGTTTGGAGCGACACTTACCTTTAATTGAATTCTCCTATAACAGTAGTTTCCAAGCTTGTATTAGGATGGCACCTTTTGAAGCATTAAATGGGCGACCTGCAGATCGCTAATCTGTTGGGCTGAAGTAGGTGAAGATTGGCGAAGTGGGTGAAGCAGGTCTAGTAGGACCTGAACTTGTTCTAGAAATCACTACGAAAGTTAAACATATTTGTCAACGATTGAAGATAGCTTAGGACTGCCAAAAAAGTTATGCAAATAGAAAAAGAAGGCCTCTACTAGTTTAAGTCGGTAATCAAGTGTTTTTAAAAGTTTAACCTCCACGTAGAATCATACGTTTTGAAAAAAAAAAGAGAAGCTCTCGCCTGGATATATCGGACCATTTAAAGTATTACAACAAATTGGAGAAATTACAAATAGACTGGCTTTACCTTCGCAGTTAGCCAAAATACACAATGTTTTTCACATATCTATGTTGCGGAAGTACTTTGCAGATCCATCGCACATCATCAATTGAGAGGAAATTAACCTTCATAAAGATGCTACTTTTAAAGGGGGGCTGGTAGCAATTCAAGACAGATAAGAGAAAAACCTTAGGGACAAGGCAGTCCATTTGATAAAGGTAGGGAGGCCCCTGATCTTTGCAATATTTTCTTTAACCCTTACTTTTAAATTATTTCTTTGTAGTTCCTCAATTTCTTAATTAATTTCAATTTTAACCCTAGAATCGAAAACATGCGTCAATCGAAAACATGCAATGCAATGAATATATAATTGAAAATAAAATTCATATCATGGAGATCGAGTCAAGATTTCTTAATATCCCCAACGGAGTCGCCAAAAACTGTCACATGCCCGGGGATACCTGTGCGTGTTAAACAGTTCGGGCCCTCGATTTATTCGATCTAGTTTCACGAGTGCAATGTGAAACATAGATGAGAGTCCAGATTTGGCAACTTTTATAGAAAATCCATTTTATTGCAAAACCATTACCAGAAATGGACTGCATCACCAGATCTTAGAGTCATTTAAGGAAAATTAGAAAACAGTGACTTGTGCCAAGGCCACTGTTCCTCGTAACCAAAGATGCTTCGCTCAGAACCTTAGGTATGAGAGGGAAAGGTTATTAATTAAGCACCCCCGCTCACCTGATTAAAGATCGACCTCTACTAAACTATGATATGAGTTTTATTAACTTTATATGTTCATATTCTGATTATTAAATAAATCCTAAAAGTTATTATGTGAAGCATACAAGTATAGACTATGCCATTCATTTTGGAACAATGTGATTTCATATGTTTTGAAAGAGTTTTGAAGATGTACAACTAAAAGAAATTGAGTTTACAATCATGAAAATCAACATCACTCCAAATTAAGCGACATAATCTCATCTACCGGCATTCATACAATTATATCAAGTAAGAAAGTAGCCATATGTTAATATGCTTAAACATAGTAAAAAAAACACATACAAATGAGATGCTAAAGCATGAAAACTTACATATTTACCGACGTCCCGCAAACAGCTACAAAACAACGTTAGAAAACTATGCATGATCTTATATACACAATTCTAATGCAATTCACTCATGAAATGCAACTAAAGATTTGAATTCTAAGATATGACGTGTGAATCATCTCAAGAATATGAGGTAGCGCACATAATCACATAGGAATTGATTAAAATAAAAAATGCATACTTAGCCGAATCAAG